ATTATTACATAATAATTAATATATTTACATAATATTATATATTTACATTATTATTATTATTGCATGATAATTAATATATTTATATGACATTCTTACATGAATATTTTTACATGATCTAGATATGATATTATTACATGATATTTTGTATGATTTATAATATATTTGCATAATAATTTTTACATACTATGATTTAATATTTATTGCATAATTAAATGACTATTTGATATTTAGATAAATTTTTTGTACCATCATGTTTATAAATAAATAAAATGATTGAAATTGATTTTGATTTACATAATAAAACCATATTTGATTATGGTTTAGGCAAGATAACACAATTAATTTGATATCAATTTTGAGCATAAAATGATGCTAATACATTATCTGCATATAATCGACTCTTGAACTTTAATCGTATTGATGTAGATCAAAATCTATTCTTTTTAAAGACTTTCAGCTTAGTCTTAGAATAATATTATAAAAAATTTTACATAACTGACCAATCACATCTAGTTAAAAAAATTGATAACAACTTTATAGTTTTTATATCTAATGGATAAATTTTTCAACCTAGACGTTATGACAATTATAACTATTTGAACTATTACAATAAATAAATTTATTTTTTTAATATCTTACTAATTTTTGAAAAAAAATTAATTTTCTTTTATTTCGATTAAACCTGTATAATAAAAAACAAGTACTTTATGACAAAATAAAAAATAATAACAATTTAAAATAATTAATTATTTGAATAATCATAATTATTTAAACTATTTAAGTAAAAAAATTTATTTTTTGAGTTATTTTTCTCTTAATTTTTGAAATATTAATAAATTAATATAATTTTATTTCAAATAAACTTTTATGAAAAAAAAACAATTAATTCATGATAAAACAAAAAAATAATAATACTTTAAAATAAATAATTATTGAAATATTTATAATTTTTTTACATTTATTCAATAAATATCTTATTTAATAATTATTGAAATATTAAAAAAATTAAATTATTTTATTTTAAATAAATTTGTATGAAAAAAATAATTATTTATAAGTAAGCTAAAATTATAGTGATTTAAAATTGATATTTGTTCATTTATTCATAAATATTTAAATTTATTCGTAAATGAATTTATTTTTAAAATTTTATTTATTAATTTTAAAATATTATTAAATTAATATTATTTTATTTTGAATAAATTTGTATATGCAGTATTTTTTTTGTTTTTGTTTTTGCAAAATAAAAGGTACGAGGGCTTCGGTTTTGGCTTTTCCTTTGAAAATTTTTAGGTGGGCAGAAAATAGAAGAAAATGAAGCAACTTCTGGGTAGTTTGGGGTTCTCAAGGCGACAGAATAAGATGGATGGGAGATGGGTAATCTGAAACTTTAACTTTAGATCCAGGGCAATTTAGGTGTTTCCAAACAACATCAATCAAGCAATCAACACAGGGGAACAAGGAGAAGGAAGCAATTCGGCAGTAAACATTCAAGCAATCCAACAGCAACAGCAAGCCCAGAAGCTCAATCACCCATACCCAGAAACCTAAAGTCAACACAGAAGCAATAAACCCAAACAACCCAGAAACAAACCCAGCAACCACAATTGACCGATGCCAAGCAGAGAAACCCACAGAAAATCAAACACAAACCTAGAAGCAAACAACCCAGAAGCAACCAAAAATTAGCAAGCACCAGTACAGTAACTACAGAATCAAACGCAATCATTCAGTAAAAGTAAGGGCTTCACTTTTGGCTTTTCCTTTGAAAATTATTGGGCGGGCAAAACATAGACTAACCCCATTCAACGCATCTGCATCATCCAAAGACTAACCTCATTGCAATCAACACAGCCACAGAAAAAAAAAAATCAAAACCAACCACATCCCCTGGAAGGGAACACAGTTCCAAAAACCAAAAATACAAAAAAAAAAAAAAGAAAAGCCTAAATAACAAGATGAAGGCGGTAGTTTCGTTCCTGGGAATTTTTGGAGGTCATAGGCGTTATGAGGGAGGCCTCTTCGGGCTTGTAGGACAACAGAGACAAAGAGGGTTTTCTGGGACAAAGAGGGTTTTCTGGGCCGTAAACAGAAGCTGCGGCAATGACAGGCGTGAAGGCCGGCGGCGGCGGCAAGAAGCCTTTAGACGATCGGGAACAGTGGAAAGAAAGGGGAAAAGCAGGACAACAATATACTAAAATTACAGAAGGATCGAACGGTGCGATGGGGTGTTTCTGCGGTTGGAAGTTTCGGGATTTGTCCCAGATCTACGAGTTTAGAGGCATGTTTTTGAAAATCCGAGCTCGGATCTGTAACAAGGACGTTGATTATAAGTGAATATTTGGGGCCCAAAAGGCACCGGAAGCCGGTGAACGGCGGGGCCAGCAGTATCACCGGTAACGCAGAGTCGGCCGGAAATCGCCTAAGGGAGAAGTATGATGCTTTCCTTTGTGTCTTTTCTTTTTTTTGTTAGAGTGAAATGAACTTAGGCCAAAAAAAGGTGCATTTTATAGTGTTTTTTAAGTCAAATCCGACCCGAACCGGCCTGCCCCATCTTGGATTCTAAGCCGATCATATCCAATTATCTACACCATTCAACCCCTTGGGCTCCAATATGGGCTTAGTCCAACCCTTTTGAGGCCTATTTTAATTTCATTTATCTATTTGCTTACTAGTTTATTTATTACTTATTTGTCTATTTTCATATGTAATTTTAGTTTTTAAATAAATTTGTTTGTGGATGACTAATGAAAGAAGATTTTAAAAATAAAATATGTGATAATATTTTTAAATAAAAATAATTTAAAAATCCTCTCTAGATATTGAAAAGAATTCAAATATTTATTAAGATAATATTTTAAAATATTATCTTTATTAAAAAAATTATTATGATGCAAAACTTTTAAAATAAATAATAAATTCTCTTAAATTTCACTTAGATATTGAAAAATTAAGCAAACCTTTTATTATTGAAGGTTTTATCAAAGAAATAACGGTATGAAGTATAAAAAGTTGTGAAAAAAAAAAATTAATTCACTACATTGTGTGATTTTTATTCACGTCATTTATTTCACATGTCATTGCATACATGATATTTGTTGGTAGCAAACGTGAAATGATATGGTAACAATTTCAAAAATAAAATTTGAAGACCTTGCTAAGATTTTGAAGGGAATTCAATCATTATTTTTACTATGGCATCACATATTTATAAAGTTTGATTATTTAATCATTAAAAAATTTTATTTATTAAAAATTTTTATCTATTAAGTATATTGATCTCTAAATAAACTTAATCGTCGAGTAATTTATAACCAATAAAATTTTATTGAAATTCATACTAATTTTTCACTTAAAATTTGGATTAATATCTAATAATTTTCGTATTCATACAAATTCATTTAATTACCTTATAAGATTTTTGAATGTATATTATCTCAATCTTATCTAACATTCATAATTCTCAAATTAAAAAATTAACATACTTCAATATAAAAGTATATATTTAGAAATCTCAATTTCCAAAAATTTTGTTTTAATTCTTTTCGAACAATCTTGTTGATTATGAGGTAACTCCAACGTTTAGCTTTCTTAAGAATTATCCAGCCATCAAAATCATTTCAGTATACCTTGCATCAACGCTAAACTAATATCCGTGTGCAAACTTGTGAACCAGCTAACAAGAACACTTTCTTACGGCAACTAATGACATGTCATAAGGATATCCATATCCTTTTAAGAAAAAAAATCTACATATTTTCAAAAGATACACTATGAGCTATGTTTGGAGTTATTAACCGAACCTACTCCTGACAAATTTCTATTAACGTGCCCAGATTGTTCACACGTCAAGCAAGCTTGGCTAAAAGTGATTGATTTGCCTTTCAATTGTGGTATCCAAAACAATTCTCACTTATCAATGCTACGGTGTTCTGTCCTGTGCCTTAAACTTGATAAAATAACCCATAAAAATTAAAAGTAATGACTAGGTAAGTTCCTAAGAAAGAAAGATTAGTCTCCAACCTTTTTAGACTGTACCTACCTATTCACACTACTACACCAAACTCCAAAGTAAAATGAACGTTTGACTCTGATACACTTTATTGAGAATCTAGTGGTGCCAAATTCATCACTTTGTTGGTTAGGAATACACACACAAAACTACCATCTTTTTCATATAAATGACCAATGGCATATATTTTACAGAATTACATACCGTCAAGATTTACTTTCACAGAAAATAGCAAACAACAACAAAAAACAAGAGAAAAAAAATACAACACAAGAATTTACGTGAAAACTCTTAAGACTGAAAAAAAAATCACGAGCCACTAAAACTAAAAATAAAAGTATGTGAAAAATTATTAATCATATAAAATTTCACTACCAAGCCTGAATTTTCATTTATTTTCCATTATCCTAAAATATATATGATACAAATCTCAAAATAAAGATTCTCATATGTTTCACACTTTGCTAACATAGATACACAACAAATCACGTAACAAATCCTTAAAATAAATAAATAAAAACCTCAAAAGATTATAAAACAAGTACTTATTTCTTTTCTTTCTTTTTTTCTCCCTCTCATTTTCTCTCACTCAGAATTCAAATTAATAACTAATAAGTTAGTGCCAACTTTGGTTAGCGAATAACTATATAAATTATTCGCCTTTATGTAACATAATTGACGAAAACAGATCTTCGCTTATATGGAACACAATTTAACTTTGGGGAACAAAATTCAACTTTGATATTTTTCTTAATAACCTCATCAACATCTGGTTAATATATCTCCCTATATCTTATTTACATTAAGCTGCATTGAATTATTAAATTATTCTCTTAAATTAATATCTTAATTCATAAATTTATCAATATAATATTTATGTATATAAATTAAATTAAATAAATAAATAATAAAAATATTATTTTTATAGACAACAGAAAAAAACATAAAATGTAAATTTTTAAATAAATAATAAAAATATTTTTCTTATATATACCAAGATGAACCATAAAACGCAACCAACGAGCCGAAAGGCCAAGCCAAATAAAATTATAATTGTAACCATACAAGAAGCTGTCCCCTGTTAAAATATAGGGATCCAGCTATTTTTATAACTGCAATCCTCCAGAAAAGCTATTAGACCCGCGCATTAATCAAATGACTGTACAGGACAATCCTGAGATCCCGGTAAAAGTCCATGTCAAAATTAGTATCACTACAGAAAAACACAGATTATATATGGCCAAAGGACACTCAAGAATGCACACCGTTGCAATAACTGTATATAGCATCTCTTATGATATTTGCAGGCTTTGTAGCATATCCGTTTTGGTAAACTTTCTTGTTAGAGGGACCATTACCAATTTCACAATTGACCTTCTCTCGGCTTTCGAAACCTTGTAAAAGAGCATCTAATTGTCCACAAGCTGCAGCTACTAAACCTGAGTTTGACATGGAAATTACATGTGAATAACTAGCTAATGTTTCAAAAAGACAGAATAATTACAGCATGGTACAGCCTGAACGTGCTTAATGAACTTTACTAATACACATAACAAAAGAAAAATGCAGGATGAGCATGGCCTCTCTCAATGAACCGATAAGCCTTAGAAAGCAAGAATGGGAATGACAATTTAAGTACCTAAGAATAAGGCAGAAGGTTTTCCTGGTCTTGATTTAAATTCCGGATGGAATTGGACACCAATATAGTATGGATGATCAGGTACTTCAATAACCTGCCTCATAAATATGCCAAATACTAGTTCAGAAACCCACTAGAAATTCACCCCCTCCCCCCAAACCACACATACACAAACACAACGAGTAAACAAAAGACAGATCCACACCTCCATTCGCTGACCACTTTCGTCCTTGCCAGTGAAAGATAGGCCAGCATTTTCAAGTCGTCCTACTATATCAGGATTCACCTACGAGTACATGCTTATTCTTCATTATCACAGGGTTGCTTACACATCAAACTTATCCATCTCAATTCCACTTACCTCGTACCTATGCCGATGTCTCTCATCTATATACCTTCTATTTCCATACCTACAGGAATGTAAAAGAAAAGGATTAGCTAATTGGAAACCATATTCATTCAGAATGCCAGAACCTTTCTCTTTTCCTTATGCATATAACCCTAATTATAATGCCAAAACTTTTTGGTCCTCCAAAAAAAGGATAATAAAAATATCACATAGCCAATTCTTTTTTCTTTATCTACTAGATATATAGGGATAGGAAAGGGAGAACCCCACCTTGCATGTCTTTCCAAACCTTTTTAACCACTAGGACAAGAAGTTTAAGATTATCACATGACCAATCTCATAAACCATTTAATACTTCATATATTCCAACATTAAAAAAAATAAATAAATATGTGCAAAAACACAAACAAATGCTTATTGTGTCAAAGAAGTCCATAGTGCTAACAATTTCACAGATTTGCAGTCCATGACTTCGAAATATGTTCTCCTTGATCCAAGACGCATGGTACCACCCATTTGCGTTTTTGAGCCCTGATTAAATCTCAGGGACATGAAGATGTTTAGTAAATAACACCATAACTTTATTTCATGATGTAAGGCACAAATAGCAAACAGAAAACATTAAACCTCGGGCATAAATATAACGCAAGGATTCCGGGTGCTAGGATCAAACTCAGTGCTGTTAGCATCCGTCAATCCGAGAACAGATCGTGCAAACTCAATAACAGCAACCTGCATTCCCAGACATATTCCAAAAAAGGGAATTCTATTTTCCCGTGCGTACTTTGCTGCAAGAATTTTTCCTTGCACCCCTCTGTCACCAAATCCTCCAGGAACAAGAACACCATCCGCACTCTGAAGATAGAAACCAGTCAGAGGACTATCAGAGATCATTCAAAGCAAAAACCATTAACCAGTCATTCCAAGGGAATAAACAACTAAAAAAATACAGACCTTTAACAACTTCCATGCAGCCTTATAAGCATCAAGATTCTGTAAACGAAATATTTTTGTCAAGAAGTTAAAGAAGTAAAGAGCAATACAGGATACATTAAAGGATTTAAAATCAATTTGACCTCAATTTCTGTCATATCTTCAAGGTCGCTTGCAGGAACCCAGTCCACAACAAGTTTCTTGCGGCAAGCAACAGATGCATGTAACAGAGCCTGCACAAACAGCATACAATTTATAGGAAAAATTCATTTATCTTTCTTTTTGGATAATTAAATTCATGTATCACATATCAAATAACCTTAACTTTATTTTTCAAACTAATTTGTAGGAAAAATAAAACTGATCAGCCCTACATATGATACAAGTTGGAATAAAAAGAAACAATTTCAACGAAAACGATCCTAGAGGACCAAGTTATATTAATAACCATGTCTTTTAGTCAAAAAAAAAATCTAAATGACTAATTTAGTTTCCAAGGAAATGATTAAAGAATTCTCTATAAACGGTTGCGGTATGACCGTTTTGCTCCAAATCACAAAAAAAGTTTTGTAAGTAGTTTTCTAAGAAAACCCTTTGAGCCTGAGAGCGTGTATTAAGATCTCTGACTCTTTCTTCGATAATATCTTATGTTTTATTTCATGAAACGATGACTGAGAGAGAATTTCGGTAAGGAGAGGTTCTGGCCAAAAAAAAACCTTACATTAGGACAGGATTGTCTCAAATATAACAAAAGACTCATTATAAGGGAAAATAAAATTTGTTGCTGAAAAAATATTGTGCAGCCGAGAAAAGGAAACAATAGTTAAGTGCACCTTCAGTACAGAAAGATAGGAATCAGGAAGGCCTGTGTACTTCCCCACTATAGCAATTCTGACCTGTACATTCATGACATAAATAGATAAGACTCTAGAATCAGTCAGTAAGAGCTCAAGATTGAATTTGACAATTAGTTGCAACGCACTCGCTCATGTAACCCATCACAAATTTCAGTCCTAGTTGTCCACTCCTTTAAAGAAGGCTCCTTTGCAATACTGCACAAAAACACACACACACACACACACAGACAATTGCAAAATGCAACACAGCCAAAATGATGTAAGTACAATGTTCAGTGCTTAAATTAAATATCCAGACAAACAAAGAAAGAGAATTGATCATATCATACACACCCTGGAAGATTAAGCACTTTGAAAATTGCCTCATGAGCCTTCTGGTCCTAGTAAAGAATTAAAACATATATCCAATTATTAATTGTCAGAATTAGGCAGAACATATAAAATTATACTTCAAACTGAAATCAAAACGCTTACTCTCAGTAGCAAAGGGACATGCCAGATGTTGGGAACATCATAAAGAGTGATAACATCTTCTGCCTAGAACAAGTATTTTTCAATTAACTAAAATTTTTCAGCCACATAAATGAACATTCAACTGATAAACAAATAAAACCTTTATCCCTCTAATTATACCATACCGGGACATGGCAAAACTGAGAGAGTTTCTCCTTCACATTGTCATCAAGTGCCTGTAAATTAAAGGGAATCTGTATTCAGAATCTAGAGCTAACAGAACGGAGCATCCGTGTGTTTATGTCTAAGTGGGCGAAAGTGATAAAAGCATCAAACCATTGTACTGCGACAAGCTAAGATATTAGGTGTCAAACCCAGGCCTCTCAATCCACGAACACTGTGCTGTGTGGGCTTTGTTTTCTGAACATGGTAGACAAGATGGCAAAAGTTCATTGGCCAATTGATTAATTTGTTCCAAGACGCAAAAAGAGGATCAATCATCTTCCCAAAAGAATGTGCCAAGAATTTATACTGGTAAGAAAGTTTCTTTTTGTTCTTTTTTTGCGCATATAGAAACACATAATTCGTAGTGTTTAAAAACTTACTTGTTCACCAACAACATTTAGAACAGGTACCAGGCTGACATGAATCAGACAGAAGTTGCCCGCACCTGAAGAAGAAGTATTGAGGAAAATAAAATCAACTAAAAGAAAATCCAAAAGGAAAAGGATGCTGACATTTTTGGATCATGACTTGCATATAATATAGCCTTACCTACACGGTATGAGAACTGGCCTAACGCCTCAATAAATGGCATGGACTCAATGTCCCCTGCATGCAAATAAGTTGCTTTGAACATAATTGGAAATGATCTTATATCACGTTGCATAAACCAAGATTGTAGCTGCATGTGTACCTATTGTTCCACCTAATTCAATGACACAAACATCAGCTGGACCTTCCTTTCCATCAACAGGAATCATTGCTACACGCTCAATCCATTCTTGAATGGCATCTGTAATGTGAGGAACAACCTACATATAGCAAGAATATGTAGACAAAAATGGCCCAAATGTGAGCACATTGGTACACAACAGCATAATTAATATATCACCATAGCGTAACTTCTTCGGTTAGGGGATATCAATCTTTCCCATAACCAATAGAAAATCCAAATTTTTATGCGGCTAGATAAGAGTATAATATTGTGGGAGTGATCGGTAAAAATGGAGATGGATATCATTTTAAATTTTTATTGAATATGAAAATAAAAACAATAATATAACACATGTCTCGTATCTATACTCTACATATATAAATATATATTTATATATATTTAATAAATAAATTTTTTACTAAATAATATAAATTATTATTTTAAATTAATTAAAATTAATATATTTTTATTTAAATTATATATTTATAAAAAATTATTTTAATATACAAGATAAAAATAAAAAGCTAAATTTTTATTTTTTAAAAAAAATTTAAATATAAAAATTATCCATACTCATTACATACTTACAAGAATGGAGTTAGAGATATTATAAGTATGATGATAAATATAAGATAAAAATTTGAGAATAAGGATGAAAAATTCTCTATTCCACCTCATACCATCTGATTTCAGCACTAAAGACAAACCTGAACAGTTTTTCCAAGATAATCACCCCTTCTCTCCTTGTCAAGAACATACTGCCACGCAATTAGAAAAGGAAAAGTTGACATTAGTAATATTATTATCAACTACTCTAATAATATTTAGGTATTAGATATTTAGATCCAGGAAATACAAAGGAGACGTGTCATTTAGGCAACTTACTTGGTAAATCTTTCCCGTTGTGATGTTATTATCACGAGTCAGTTTGACATCCAGAAAGCGCTCATAATTTCCAAGGTCCAGGTCCACCTTTCAAGTGGGAAAATAAATATTTATAGCAAGCCTAAAAACATGGGATTACTCTAGCAAATAATATCTCTTAAATACACTTCATATTTCATTTTTTGTAAAAGGCGGAACTGTGGCAAAAGATAAATAAGATATTTTTACCTCACCACCATCGTCTAAGACAAAAACTTCCCCGTGCTCAAAAGGGGACATCGTCCCAGCATCGCTATTTAAGTAAGGATCTAATTAAGTTGAGAAAGGAAAACTATTAACACCATGTTTGATAAGGAGTAAGAAAAATAAAGCAAAAAGGAAAATTGTGAGGGAAAGATAAGGGAAGGACAGGAAAGAAAACTGTTTTCTCTTATTTGTGAGTGATATGAGGGCGAAAAAACACAAGAAAAGAAAGAGGTTGGATCAAATTCTAAATAAAATAATTAATTTGAGTTTGAGTGTTTTCTTTCACTTTTTCAAAATATCGGATTCGAAGGGAATTAATGGAGAAGTATTAATCCACCCATTTTTCTTCTTTTTTCTATTTTCCTCATTTTTTTTGCTATTTTTCTCATTCCAAATAAGAAAAAAGGATGAAAGGAAAATTTTTCTTCGTATTTAATGAAAATGATTTGGGAAATTGTAAACCAGGTAGAAGAAAGAACAATAACAATTAACAATTTGATATAGGCCTCTGCAAAATCTGACAAATTAGCGTGAGAGAAAACAGATGTTGAAGTTGTACAAATACATATAAGTTTATGGTACAAAATTAGGAAACACATCAATAAACTGGTGATAATAATAATTAAAAGAAAAAAAAAAGTCCGGAGAGATAAAAGCAGAACAATTTAGAAAATTTCTCAAGATTCAAGGGTCCTTTGGAATATCTTACAAGGACAGAAAATCTAAAAAGAGGAAGGGAAAAAAAGAACGTAGCAATAAAAACTGAAAAGAAACGAGCAGGAAGCGAAAGGAAGGAGAGGAAACTCAGGGAAGAACAGAGACCAATCTTGATAGAAGTAACGCGAAGTCCACAAGCCTTGAGAAGTAACCCGATGCTGCTAGCGGTCACTCCTTTCCCGAGTCCACTAACTACTCCGCCAGTCACCAGGATGTACTTCATTTTCTTCATCCCTCCTCTTCCTTAATTTTTGGCCTTCTCCTAATAAAAAGAAAGAAATTTTAAAATTAAAAAAGAAAAGAAAATATTTCAACAAACGCCTAACCACAATTCAAAACAACAAAACTGCATAACAGAACAGAGCAAGTATAACATATCTTCTTTGTCTCTACTATGGATAAAAGTAGTATCTCAACTCCTTCGTTTAGACGCACATGGATGCAAAGGAAGGTAGAAAGAAGAAGACTGAGTTCTTACCTTATTAAACCTTTCTTACCGCCAACTCAAAATCAGCTACTTAAAAGAAACAGGATGATAATGGTCAAAGCCAGAGTCTTTGCAGATAGGTGTATGCGACAACGTGCTCTGCCTTGTTTTACTTGTATACTATATAAAATATACGAAAACAAATAGCATCAAACATAAACAATAACTAAATTTTGTGATGCGGGAAGGAAGAGACAGGGACGCTCACCCCTCATTCAGAGAAAAACTGAAGAAACAGAATGAGAGAGAATTGAGAGAACAAGAATGAAGTAGAAGGAATGAGTTTGGCTAACGCTCATTGGCAACCTTTTTATACACAACCACAACGTTATGCGTATCCCATTCACCCTTCCTGGTACCGACGGCCCAATAACAAGATGCAAACAACCAACAACCTAAATATAAATATTATTAAATTAAATACTAGTTCAGTTAAATATAAGAATAATCTTATATTATATTTTTTGTCAGTTTAATATTAAAAGAATAAAATTATCAATTATATACTAAACTTTCATTCCGTATTTATTTTAGAACTTAATATTAATACCGTCATTCAACTTATCGACATAATATAAATATCCAATAATATCTTGAAACATGTAAAAAAAAAAGCAATTAATGTTACATCATCAATTACAATGCTTGCATTAAAATTTTTAAAAAAATAAAAAATCTAAAATATTTTTAAAAATTATAAAAATAAAATATTAAATATTTTTAAAAATTAAATATATATGAAAACTTTAAAAAATTTAAAAAAATCTCAATACTTTATAAAAAATCTAAAAATATTCAAAAATATTGCAAAATTCAAAAAATTGAAAATTTTAATAAAAATAATTTTTTTTAAATTCAAGAAAAGATTCACACAAACTTTAAAAAAAAAAACTAAAAAAAAAAAAACCTAATTTTCATAAAATCACAAAATTTTAAAAAATTCTAAATTTTTTTTCATTTTTTAAATCTTACAGTTTTTAATTTTATATATTTTTAATTTTATGGAATTTTTTATTTTTATTAAATTCTAATTTTTATTATTTATTTTTCAAAAAAATTTATTTTTAAAATCTTTTTAAAATGTTTGATATTTTTTTAATTTTTTTAATTTTTCAAAATTTTTTAAATATTATATATTATTTAAAAAAAATTAAATCAAATCGAATCAAATTCAAACATTTATTACCCTTATCCCGTTAATATCCCTAACAAATGTAAACATTTCTCCTATAATAATGATTATAGAAAAAGCTAAGGTAAAGATGGCTTTAATCTAGTTATGTTTGATCTCACATATAATGCGTACTAGGAATATGGGGCACGTAAGTTATCAAATTTTGGTTTGCAATTAGGAGAGAGTGAATATTGGATTGAGGATTACCTACGTATTATGTATATAAGATGATTATAACCAAATTTAATGAATAGAATCTTTCATTTCAAAAAAATATATATTTTAGATAAATATATTTTTAATTATTAAAGTTTCATTATTCAATATTTTTAGAATTTGAGTTTTTAGATAATTGTACAAATCAAAATTTTTTTGAGAAGTGTTAATTTTAATAACAAGTATTTAATAATATTTTCATACATTCTGATTTTATTTTTTAGTAATTCACAAAATATCGCATTATTTTTTATTTGTTTCACTTAAAATTTTGTAATTTAATTTAACAAAATTAATTATTAAATTTTCATTTAAATACATAAAAATATTATCAAATAATTTTTAAAATTTTATAATACTTCTATATTAAATTTATCAAACATTATTTTAACTTTTTTTTACTATAATTTTAAAATAATTTTGATCGAGCAACACTTATTATAAAAACTTTAGCACAAAATGTTGAAGTATAATTTTTCCAAATTAAGTTTTTTTTTTTTTTAAAAAAAAAAAAAACCCACCACAGGGCGTAGCTACATGTTATTTAGTTGGGTCAATTGACCAGCCAAATTTTGGAAAAGTTAAGTTTATATTTTATAACACATATGGAACAATAAAATTATTGTAATTTTTTGTTTCGTTTCCACTAAAATGAAGTATAAGAACATAAAAAGAGATGGGTCACAAAGTAAATATTTTATCATTTTTATAATGATAATGAGTAATATGTAATTTTTAAAAATAATAACCAAGCAATATCTAAATTAATGTATGCTTGTAAGCACAATTACATGAGATGATATCTTGTTGTGGTAACTTTTATCGAACTAATAAATGATATAATCATATTTTTTGAATATTTGAAAATTTTGGATTTTAACACAAAAATTCCTTTAACAATATAATTTATAAAGTTTAAAGTTTTGTGAAATGTGAATCAGTATATGACCATACTATTTTTTATTTCTTTAGTACGCCACTTGTGATGCCCAGAATCTGGTGCCCTGATTTTGCAATTTTTGTGTCGTATAAAAAAAAATAGTACTGGATTTCATCTTTTCTTTTTATTTTTCAGATGAATATTAATTTAATTAAAAAATCAAGAAATGGTCATGACAAAAGCAAGTTCATTCTTGCTCCGAAGAGGAAGGAAAGGATATTCCAATCAAATATAGACAAGGAGTTTTTTGTCTGCGGAGCTCATAGCCACTTTCCAAAAGCAATATTTAAAGCGAAACTGAGAAAACCAAAAGAGAGAACAGCAATTTGGTCAAAACTCAATAATAAAATATACAATTTCAGGATAAAATTTAAACGGAATTTTTTAAGTTAAATTTGTGAAAAATTTTTAAAATAATTTCATAAAAATTTTAATAAAAAATCGAAATCAATAAAATGATAAATTTTAATATAAAAATAAGTAATATGAAAAAATATATATATTATTTATAATTCAAATTTAATTGGTACATATTTAAAGATAAAAATTTTGCTAATATTTTTATTATAAATATTTGTCTAAGAAATATATCAAAATTTTTTAAAAATATTTACCTAAAAAAATTTATTTAAAGTTTTCCCACAAATTCAAGGTATACAAAAATCCCATTAAGGATAGAGCAAGCAACCGAAAGGAGAACCAAGGAGAATCCTTTTATTTCAAGAAATCCACCAAACGACTAACAAACTTCCAAGGGATCCATCAACGACTCACACAGTCGCACTACCTCTGAAGTCTTTCTTTATTTGTTTGGCCAACAAAGATATTATCCACCTTTTATACTTCATAGTTTATACTTACCAATGAGTGGAGAGAAAAGGTTTAAAAAAAAAAAAAAAAGGAAAGTGAAAAGGAAAGGTTCATTATTACTTATATTACGAAATATAAAAGACAAGGAAATATGACTACATGTATTCGAGGATCTCCTCTAAAAGTAATAGGGTACAAAGGAAATTGGTTCAATTTAGGGTTGGGCATAAATTTTTAAGTTGAGCTCAATCTGCTTAATTAACTTATTTTTTTTAATAAATCAACACTTTGCTGCAATTTAATTGTTATAGTGGATTTTTTATATTTTAATTTGTTAATTATTTATTTAATTATATATTATATACGAATGTAATATTGATTATTATTGTAATTTCTCTTGTATTTATAATTTCATAAAAAAAATTGATCTCGATTGTTTTAAATATTTTAAAATAAATTTTATAAAATATATAATTAAAATTTATTTCATTCAAAGTTTTTAAATTATATTTTTATATTTTCTAATAATAATAAACTTTACAAAAATCGGAGACCAACATTTTTTTTTTTAATTTTAATCAACAAAAAGTCAGGTTGTTATAAAAGAAGCAAATTATCCGACCATTAAATGAAAGTTGCATACAATACTTAATAAGTTGGAAATTATTTTTGGAAAATTTTTGAGATAATGAAAGTAATTTAGGTATTATAAAATGAGGCGAGAAATTAATGTATTAAGAAAGGCAAAATATGGAAGGTATTAAATGAAAGGAGTTTTATATATTTGCTCTTTTTTAAAATTTTAAATTGATTTGAAAAAATAGTGAAATTTTTTATTTTTATATTTTTTAATACATTAAAATTATTTTTTTACATTGATAAAGCATTTCATAATAATACATGTAACACAAATATATTTTTTTCAGTTGTCATACTTATTTAAAAAAAATTACATCTAAATCAAATAGGTTGTGAAAATATTTTTAAATTATTTTACTCATTTATTAGATTACAAAAATTCCTAAAACAATTATTTTTTAAATTATCTTGCTCAATTAAAAAAATTATATGTAAATTTTTATAGGTCCCAAAACGAAACGGGGTCTTTGTCCTTGTAAATTATGAAAAACCCAATTAGTCATGGGTGTGTTTGCTACCAACCGTCCAAGGGCCCCATTCCACGCTACCATAAGATCTCTTTTTAGTCAAAATAGATTATTCAATTTTTTAAAAAAGTGGCAAAAAAAAAAACTTAAAAAAAAAAAAATCGTTTGGATAATAGCATACATACAATGAATTTGAGATTTTGTTCTGCTCTGTTTGTTGCTATAAGTCGACTATGACAAAGGTTCTCACTAGATCATGCACATTATGTCCCAAGAAATACACAAAGGATACATCCTCACAAAATCAAATAGCTCCCAACCTATATAATTGTTCTTAATCATTTGTTGCACTTTTAATTTTTATACTTTTGATGTTTTAAGCAATCAATTTTGCAGCTTTAAAAGTACTCGTTAAATATAATTATCTTTTTTAAATTAAAATTGTATGATTGATTCACAATTAAGTGTCGTGGATCTTATCTCATATATTTAAATTATGTTTGATAAACAAAATATAATAAAATAAGATAATATAATATTATAAATTAAATTAAATAATACAATCTTATTTTATGTTTGATGTATGTAAAATTTAAATAAGATAATTTATTTATTTGTCAAAATTATTTTTTCTCAAAATTTATACAATTTAAATTATTAATATAATTTTTAAATGTATAATTTGACATTTAATTTAATCTCATAGATTAAAATTAATACTCTCCACTTGAGGAAGATTAAATAATTATATGCCAAGCGAATATCAATCATCTTTGCAATTCTTATCATTTTCTTTAGATACAAATTAAATATAATATAAAATAATTATTATCCTATCCTATTAGTAATCCTATGCATTAAAATATGACCTTAGGTTATATTTGGTACATGGGATAATGATAAGATAGAATGATAATTATATTATATTATATTTAGTTTGTATATAAAAAAATGATAGGATTATAAAGAGAATCAATCATTTTCTTAGCATAAGATGATTTAGTCCTCCTAAAATTGATAAAATTATTTTTAATCT